TCTTAAAAGACAGAAACAAATGAACAAACAAAAAAAAGCAAGGGACCAACTAAGAAGAGGGCAAAGCAAACACAAGCAACTGAGTAGTGTATGCACGCATGAACAAACAGAACCAGGAACACGCAAGCACATTCACATGTCTGAGATTGGATCTATATGTAATCACACCCACATGTGTTTTTCTTCTTTCACACCTATGTCTATGTCTATGTATGTACGCATGTGTCATGTACATGCTGGTATGTATGTCTTTGCATGCCCACATGGGTGTCAATATACATGCCTATGTGTGTGTCTGTATTATGTCACATGTCTCTCTGAATATGCATACGTTATATCTATGTGCATATGCTGGTGTGTATATCTGTGTGTGCCAACATGTGTGCATGCATGTGTACATACATATATCTAAGTTTGTGTCTAGATCCTCACCGGTGTGAACACCTACATCTGTATGTTTCTCTGTTACATCTGTATCTGTCCCATAACTGTGAGAATTTTTTTTACATCTGTGTGTACACTTTGCCCATGAAGCCATGTGCACACCTAAATAAACATGTGTGTTTGTGTTCTTCAGAAACCTGTGATGGCCCAGCAGCCCTAGAAGGGGAGGTTCATGGGCACAAGAGAGTACCACAAAGCGCCCCACACTGCCTCCTCCACACGACCACCGCATCCCCATGGGCTCAGAACTTCTTGATGCTCACAGCTGCTTGTGGCCACCTTCCCAGTGAGAAATAAGAAGAACTTCCTGTGTGGATCCTCTTGTGAGATGACAGGTTCTCAGACTTCTGGCTGTCACCAGGCCACCTGCCAGCTTCTGACCCGGAAGATACAAACTCATGGAATTCCCCTTCAGATGATGCTTTCTGCCTGAGGAACACCCAGATACCCTTCTGCTATGATCCTTTAACCTTGTCCCTTGACTTTGTTGAGCCACATTCACAGATGTGATGGAAAGAGATGGTCCCGCAGAGGCCCTGAGCGTATTCACATTCCTGATTGTGAGGAGAGAGGCAGATACAAGTGGGTGTGATGGGAGAGTGTGCAATTACAGACAGCGAACGAGGGGGGCGGGGCTTGGCTCCTCACCCATTGCACAGACCTTGTTCTTAAGCTTCCTTGTGGGTCACAGACAGGAGCCACAACACTGCCCCCCTACCCCAGAGTTTCCACCACCACAACTACCGACCGCTGTGCCACATCGAAGTTGAGCCTCTAACACAGGCTTTTGGGGTGCACTATCTAGGGACCTCACTTTCTAGACAGCCCACGCTTTAAACATAGGACTCTAGCTCACGCAAATGACAGCTTTAGAATTTATCAAGAATTTAGGTTTTCCAAAGCCAAGAACATGGGAGTCAGTCTTGCTCGTGACTATATAGTCAGCTCTTCACAGCCCTTCCACCAGTACAGGGAGGCCGTCTCCTACGCTCAGGGCTGCCTCTTTCCTGAGTCAGAGAACACACACAGGCCGAGCCACAGCATCCTAGTGTAGCCTGAGAATAAACTTCAAGGAGGAAACTTTCCCTCATTCAGAGACCCACATCTTAGGAGTCCCATGTTTGTTTCCCCTGGCCTTCTAGCAAAATAAGCCAATCACGACCACAGGAAATGTGCCCTCCTGAGTATCCAAGGACAAAAGTCCAATCAAGGTGTCGGTGGAATTTGCAGTTCTGAGGAATAGGTGCCTCTTCCTCCTTCTGGGATGGCAGCCATCCCAGTACACCTTGACTTCAGCCCCCATCCTCACCTTCATGTCCCCTTGCCTTGTATGGTTCTGAACAGCTGCCATCTTGTCAGGACACCATTTGTTGCCTGAAGGGCCACCTTTACCCAGTATGACTGCCTCAGTCAAAACACTCTCAAAGACCCTATTCCCATAGATGATTGTTTCCCGGAGTTCTAGATGGGTGTGACTGGGGAGACACTGTCTGACCCACTAGAGAGCACAAGAGTTCAAAGACCTCAAAACTTTGCAGTGTACCCCCAAACAGTGGGGTCCTCAATAATTCTGCTGAAAGCCAGAGGGAGATTAAGAGGTAGGACATTGGCCATGGAGTCCTGTTCAAAGGGGGCTCCCTTTACTGAAAGGAACAGAAATCCATCTGAGTCGGAGTGTGGGGAAGGGCACAGAGCTTTCTCCTGCAGCCCAGGAACACAAGCAATCCAGCTTCAGGGAGTGTGTGGGCACAGCCTCACAGCCTTGCCTCTCCCCACACCCCTGCTCTTCACTTTGTCAGCTGTTCAGAACTCCAGCTGATGCCCCAGGGTCACGGTCCCTTCAGCCACAACTCTGTGATTCCTCCGGTCTGACAGCCACAGCTCATGATCCCAGACCCCAGGGGGCACATTTTTAGAACCATGTATGTCTTCAGTGTTGGCCACCCAGAGGCAGGCAGGGCTTTGCCGGATGGGAAATCCCTCTGCTGTACCCAAAGCTGGTTCAAGAGTCCTTGCTTGGTTCTCCTGTCCTGGGATCCATGGCGCGTTAATAAGATGTGGGGAAAGTTGCCTTCTCTCTGTGGTCAAAGAAACCCCCTTGTCAGTTCTGAGGTGCCCAGGCCGGGCCAGCAGCTGGGGTTCTGTGGAGACCTGCAAGAGCAGCCCAGGCCACACCGCCCCTGCCCTTTGCCATCTGCCTTTGGAGCATCTCCAGCCACCCAAAGTACCTCTCGATTCTGCAGACCTTTTGCCTGATGCCATAAAGTCTGCAGGAGGAGGAGACTGGGCTGACACCAGGGTCGTTGTGCACCCCTCCCCCCGCCCTGCCTTCTGGCTCCCGTTTAGACTCTCAAAGGCACACTCTGTCCTTATTTTGATAAATAAAGCTACTCTGCTAAGAGGACCCAGGATCCTAGACGCAAACACAGAGAAAGACAGAGTGAGACGGGGGCGGGGAAGGGATGAGGGGAGGAGGAGAAGAGAGAGAGAGAGACAGAGAGAGAGAGAGAGAGAGAGAGAGAGAGAGAGAGAGAGAGAGAGAGAGAGAGAGGGGGGGGGGGGGGGGGGGGGGGGGGGGGGGGGGGGGGGGGGGGGGGGGGGGGGGGGGGGGGGGAGAGGAGGGGGGAGGGAGGGGGGGGGGAGGGGAGGGGAGGGGAGGAGAGGAGAGGAGAGGAGAGGAGAGGAGAGGAGAGGAGAGGAGAGACCCAGACCCACAATGATATGATATTCAGGACACTTACTCCCACTCCCAAGGTCTCACAGCCATCCCCTTGGGTCCCAGGACTGGGCACACATCCAGGGAAATCTTCCACAAGACCCACCCCCAAGACAGGAACATGCCTTACCATGGCTCTTCTCACCAAGGCCGGGCTATCACCATTGTTAACACCTAAGCTCTCTACAGATGGTATCAAGCAAGCATTTCAAGGTCCCTGTGACCCTCATCTCTGGGCTATGCCATGCTCCTTCTGGAGTTCCTTACCATACCCACTTCCTGCCATATCTCCCAACGAGTCCACAGAGCCCTCTTCCCAGGAAGATGCAGCCATGCCTTGAGAACACAGATGTTGCATTGACCAAGTCCCCAAAGGGTGAAGTGCTATCCTGACACTTTTCCTACAAGTCTGGTGTTGGCCAGGAAATGATGGTCCTGGAGAGTCCTCCTGCTTTGTCTTGTCTCATGCAGAGTTCCTTCAAGAATGCTCTATTGCACTTAAATGATACTTCATATAACCTGTAACTATTGACGTGGTGGTGACGGGTCAAGTTAAATGACGGAATCTTACATAGTCACTTTTAACAGCATAAACCTACAGGTAATTTAACAATCCCTGGCTATGATGGTCAAAGGAATGAGGCTCAGCACCTGTAAGCTGGATGAATCTACCGGAAGGCACAGGGAACTCACCAAAAGCAACGCCCCAAGTAAAAGCGGTGGCCTTTGCACATTACCTGGGCTCTTTTCTCTCTTTTTAAGTGCACTAATTTTTTCTCGTTGCCTGTAAATTGCCTTTACAGCAAAATAAACTTGGTTTTTAGAAGGTTGTATGTGAGGGTGTATATATACATTTATGTGGGGTCCCTGTAGACATGTGTATAAGAGACCAGAGACCAACACCGGATGTCTTTATTAATCATTCCCCCACTTTCTTTTTTTGAGTCACTGAACCTGGAGGTTGTTTGTTGGTTTGGCTAAGCTGACTAGCCAAGGAGCTTTGAGACTTTTCCATCTCTGCTCCGTCTACCTCAGCGCTGGCATTATAGATAGGGCACTGCCACACACCACCTTTAAACTATAACAAAAGTAGTCTTTGTGCCGGGCGGTGGTGGCGCACGCCTTTAATCCCAGCACTCAGGAGGCAGAGGCAGGCGGATCTCTGTGAGTTCAAGACCAGCCTGGTCTACAAGAGCTAGTTCCAAGACAGGCTCCAAAACCACAGAGAAACCCTGTCTCGAAAAACCAAAAAAAAAAAAAAAAAAAAAGTCTTTTCTGCTGTTTGACTTTCAATTTTTTTGTTTTGTTTTACTGGGACAGGCTGGCCTTGAACTCAAAGCCATCCTCCTACTTCATGTTCCTAAGTGCTGGAATTATAGGTGTATGCCACAACACCAGGCTTCTCTTTGTTTTTATGAAAATTAAGCCTGGCATTTTCTAAGTCATAGACTCAGGATGGAGTAGAGGAAGTGTGTCTAAAGACCCCGTCTGAGGACAAGCAATCTGAGGGGACAACCAAAGTAGGAAGCACCCACCTGGGTGTGAGGGACTTTCTGGCCACCATTCCAGGAAGCCATGGCTCAGGTGAGGCAGGAAAGGAGAGGAAGAGCCTTCAGAACAGGCGTTTCCCGTTCGATGACCGCCTCCCATTGAGAGGATGGGTGGACACGTGGACACGTAAGTCTGGAGTCTGCCCAAAGGCGAGAGTGAAGAAGGGGGGTTAATGTGTTTTAAAGCCACTTGGCCCAAATGAAATTATATAATTCAGGAAGGAACAAATCACACCACTGATGAGAGGTTTTTTTTTTTTTTTTTTAAGATAAAAAGAAAGGAAAGCAAAAAGACGAAATGTCTTGGTGAGGGAGGAGTCGCAGTTGGGGACGGCAGGCTATAAGCAAAGACGCCATCTCACGGAAGGGACCAACTGGGGGCGTCCATTGCCTCCTTGCTGGCCTATAAAAGGCGAGCATCCAGGCAGGCCTCCCCTGACACCCGGGCAGCCTTGTCGCCACACTCGAGAGACAGCAGGTGAGTAACTCAGCAATGCTAGAGGGGCAGGTGTTCCTGTGCCTGCCAGCTCCTCTGCCGGTCTTCCTGAGCAGCCAGGTGTGGGCACCAAGCAGAGAGAGCTGCCCACGGTCTGTGGTCCAGGATCACACACCCTCATGGGGACTCTCACACTCAAGGGCTGTCCATGGTGGAGGGCGGGTTAAGTGTCCCACCAAGGGACACTTCCCACTGAGGGACACCCTCTCAAGCAGAGCCCAGTAGGTGCACTGGGCAGACAAGTCTACAGTGCTCCAGAAAGGGGGCTCCTGGGGCTCAGGAACCAGGGGCGACTAGCATTCTGGGCACCCATCACCCAGCCCGAGTGGGTGCGGTTTTTACCAAGGTTCATGGTAGCATCTCCATTCTCTCTAGTCGGGGCTCCCCTGTTCTGTGTGGGACACCCCAGCAGTGCTGTGAAGAGGGGAGGAGGGGGCATTTTAAAGAACTCTGATAGACAACTCTTTCTGTGTGGTCAAGAAGGGGCTGGAAAGTCAAGGTCAGTTAAAGGTCCTTCAGATGAAGCTCTGGAGCATCTTCTGATGGGATCTGAAATACAAGGGGTGGGGTCAAGAGGGGTACTCCAGCAGGATACCCCTTCTCATACACAGAAGTAGCCCTCTCCTCTGTCACTCAAAAGGGCGCTGTGTAGAGAGGCAGGTGCCATGGACTCATTCCGAAGCCTCAGCAGACCAGGTCTGAAGTTCTGGGTTATTGTGAGGTTGTGGGGTGTGCACTTACTAGGGATGGAGGATGCTGAGGGTCCTCTTTGCCTGTCAGGCTCTCAGTGTCAGGAGATCCTGGGCCACGTGTGGAGAAGGACTGGGCAATGAGGTCCCCAAACCCCCCAAACCCTAACTAACTCTGAGGTAGAGCAAATTGTTCCCCCACCTCTACTGCCCCAGCCCTTCCCATAAACCCATTCCCCACCAAGATCTGGGTGTCTACCTCCTGACTCCTCACACAGATGGACAGACAGACCCAAGAATGTCCCAAGACAGCCACCTGTGCACAGTTCACATACCTCTCTCCTGAGAAGTGCAGCTATGTGCACCAAACACATGCATTTGTGTACTTCACATGCACATACATGTACCACACACACATGTGCATCTGCACACACAACCCAAGGTCCCAGCTTTGTGCACACAACTTACTCTTACACATCTGCCCCTAGGCTATACCATCTCCTGTGAGATCCCATCTCCAGGGCATCATCGAGGAGGCCAGAAGCATGGCAGCTCTGAGGGCATGGCTCCTGTGCCTGCTGCTCTTAGCCTTGGTCCTTCCAGGAGCTTCCAGCCGAGCCCACCAGCACTCCATGGAGACACGCAGTAAGTGCCTGGCTGTTGGTGGGCAGCCTCTCCTGCCCGCCCCTCCATACTTTCCCTAGATGCCTTGAGTGCCCTGCACCTGAATGGGGCTTGATCATCTCCTAAGTGAACGTTACCTTGCCTTGTGTTCAGTCTGGAGGATGACCTCTTGGTAATAAGATCCTGTTGAATGGGCCTCTGCCCATGGTGTCTCCCTCTCCTCACCATGCCCCTAGCCATCTTGGCTGGGTCCCTTGAGAACCTGGCAGGGAGGGGGTGAGGGAAGGGAGGTAGAGTGGGACAGGAAGGGATGTCACTACTGGTATATCTCTAAACTAATTTCCCAAAGCCACACCACTGCCCAGATACACTGTGGCCAGTCTCTTTAGGCTGGATGCCAACATGGTCTGGTGCCCAGGTTTCCGTAAGTTTAGGGGTTCTGTATGGAGGACACCGCACCTGTGTGCCATGCATCTCGTATGCTGCTCTGACTCCCTCCTGTCTAGCCCCTGACATCAATCCAGCCTGGTACACAGGCCGTGGGATCAGGCCTGTGGGCCGCTTCGGCAGGAGGAGGGCAGCCCTGAGGGATGTCACCGTACCTGGCCTGCGGTGCCGGCTAAGCTGTCTCCCGTTGGAGGGAGGTGCCAAGTTCTCTCAGCATGGATGACAGCCCAGCGCCTGAAGACAGTGATGCTGGGCCCAACACCACCCTCCCTCTCCCTGCGGAGCCTCCCCACCCCACCCCTACCCTGCTTTCTCTGCTTTCCCTACAATCTAATAAAAGTGCTGGCCTTGTTTACTGTACACTTGTAGCTGTGTCAGAACAAAGATGTTTTCCCTCATGGGAGGTTAACCAGGAAAGAAACTCAGAGGCCAGCAGCCTCTTTGGAAAGAAGAAACTCTGACCTGTCCCCCCAAGCAACTGAGATGCCTCCTCTCTACCTGGTCTCCTAATAACCTGCATCGAGGGAAGGAAAGCTAAGTTGATATCCGTGTTCCTGTAAATTCTTATTCCCCCAAAGCCACACCAATACCCAGAAATGGGGTGTCCCTTCCTTGGTGACTTGCTCCCACAAGCTCCCACCCACCCAAGATACCCTGGACACATACTCAGATTTGCACACTGCATAAAGCTAGGGGAACCACACACTACAGTGTGTAAGATACTTGATCCCAAAGAAAGGCAACACAATGCTTCTCTCTGCGTTTTCTAAGACTTTTAGAGCTATTTTGGGTTTGCTGCAAAAATTTGAAGATACAGAGATGGTCCTAGGAGCCCTGTCCCCTGAGCACCGTTCCCGGTCCCCTGTAGGACAGGTAAAATAAAGCTACAGCCCATGAAGCTACATACCATCGTCACCCAGAACCTGTGGTGTCTGCTAGGTTCAAGGTCAGTACTACGACTGCTGTTTGGGCAAACACATGACTTGGCTCCACCAGCACAGGGATGTGTGGTGTCCCTCACCACCCTGAACATACTCTGTTCCTTGTCGCTTGATGAGTGCTGGCAGCCACTAACACATGCGGTCATGCCACCCTCATTCCTGCTCAGAGGAGAATCCCAGAGACCTGACCCCTGATCATTTGGATCCTATGTGCCCCTTTTAAGTCACACGAGGTGTCTCTATGCCCTTCCTCAAACAACTTTAGAGTCAGAGCACATACCCACTCTTCTCGGGGTACCCACACAGCACAGCTGGTGTCCTTAGAAGGGGGGGGACTCGGACAGGAGCTTAGGGAGACTCCATGGGGAAGCTGGGGCAACGAGGAGATTCACCTGCATAGAGGAGAGCCAGTTGTTTCTGGCAGCCTCATCGGCCCATGCAGATGCCTCCTCCCAGCTCAGAAAGTTCCGTCCTGCCCACAGACTGACTTGGGCCTCCACTGGGGGTCATCTGGCTGCCATCTAAGCTGTTCTACCCAGGCTATACTCTAGGATCTTCCAAAACCACTTGGGGGAAAACAGCAAGCAGCTGAGATGGGGGCACAGGGAGTGGCTAGGATCTCAGATGAAAGTCTACTGGCCCTCCCCACCCCTCCTTCTGTGCAGGCTGGATCTCGTTGAAGGTTTCCTGCAGGTAACAGCCCTGCTCTTAAGGCAAAGGTAACAGCTGTTGTGCTTGGAGGACTGCCTCTCATAGCCAGTCTCCAGGAACAGACCAGCTCCTTATCCAGAAAGATGAATGGAGGCATATTCGCTTTCTCCAGTCTTGGAACAGTTTTAAAACACACAGGAAATTCCAAAAGATCCTGTAGTGACTTTCCCAACCACCTGAACTCGTCAGCTCTCCTGTATGCTGTTTTCCCACTTCCCCTCCTTGTCCTAAGACTCACCTATACTTGGTGGGGAGCTGCAGACACCAAGACATTGCCCCAAATAATTCAGCACGTTTCTCTCAAGAATAAGATGAAATATAAGCCTGGAAACGTGAATAACTGTGCATATTCTCTCTCTCTCTCTCTCTCTCTCTCTCTCTCTCTCTCTCTCTCTCTCTCTCTCTCTGTTCCTGATCTTATTGTCTGCTACCTTTAGTCATAACATTGACCTTCTGAAACAGCCGGTGAGCTGTTCTTAAAAACGATCCATGCTGATTGTGCCCCTCGTGGTGTGACTGGCTTGGCTTCTGCACTTCCTGTCACAGAAAAGGACCTCAGCTTAGCTATGCGCCACTGTCCAAAGGCCCTGGGTCCTCTGATGGGGTCCTGGGTCCCACCTCAACATGCTAACCTTGACCGTGAGCTTGGGGTCTTGCCTCTCAACTGTAAAATATTTCTCCGGTGCAGCACTGAATTGCATTTGTCTAGTGGATGAGGAGGCAAGGAAGCTGCATGGTACCAGATCCGCCCAGTCTTGGGCTTTCTGGTGGAGTGTGCCGAAGGGAGCAATACTCATCAGTCAAGGGAGAGGAGAGATTAGCCATCAGACAGACAGGCACCCTACAGATCTCCCTGGTGTTTTCCCTCTTCCTCTGTCCTCAAGCAATGACTGCTCTTAGGAGGTGCACCTGAGTTTCTAGACAGAACAGGATCGCCTTAGGTGATACTGGAGCGCCACCTTGTGGTCTTGGGGCCCAAGCCTCTCAATCACCTTTAGGAGGGAATGCCTGCTTATAGGCTTGCCTGATGGAGATCTTGGGGATAGACCAGGATGCTAGAACATTCATTTCCCCTAGTTCACTTATTAGAACGCCATCATGTGGCCACTTCCGCCTTCCCTAGCTGTCAGAACAGCAGCCCCATGTCAGCAGGCCTCCCTAGAAATCAGTCAGCAGGCCTCCCTAGAAATCAGGCAGAAAAGAGTGAGCGAGACTCTCCCAAGGAGCACTTGACACTTCCTCACGGATCCTCAGAACAAGCCTTTCCCTGTCTGGCCCACATCTGCCCAGTGGTCACAGCAGTTTCCTCCCGGTCAGGTCGGTACGACATCAGTACCAAAAAGTCTGGTCGTTTCCAGGCCCCAGCACTGAAGCTGGATCCATCCAGGGGTGCAGGGGACCCAGGAGGCTCCTTCCAGTCCCCAGACAAGGAAGCTGGGGTTGGTCTGCCCAGGCAAAGCCGATGAGAGCAGAAGGCACAGCCCAGGCACTGCCAAGCTCCCGGCCAGCCCGAGCTCACTTTGGCTGAGAATTTGGAGTAAAGTGGGAAAGAGGATTTCCCTTTTGTCCGTTTGTCCATTTGTGGACACAATCGGGCCACCTTCCTCAGTGAGGAAACATTTCATTCTGTGAAGTTCTCTGGGGTTTGTTTCATTCTGGTTTTTATTTGTTTCTCTGTGCAGCCCAGAATAAACTGGCCATTCTCCTGCTTCAGTCTTGCATGTGCTGGGATTAGAAGCCTCTATCACCACATCCAGCAACAGTGTCTCGTTGTTGAGACTCAACAGCTTATCACACTCCCAGAAGCAAAGAGAAAAAACCAGCCTGTGTGGGGCGGTGGTGGCGGCAAATGCCTTTTATTAATCCCAGCACTTGGCAGGCAGAGGCAGGCGGGTCTCTTCAAGTTCAAGGCCAGCCTGGTCTATAGAGCTAGTTCCAGGACAGCTGGGGTTGTTATACAGAGAAACCCTGACTCAAAAACAAAACAAAAAAAACAAAAAAACAGTTTTGACCCCTAAATGGCCACATTTGAAGTACCTCCATCTTGCCATAGCAAGCATCAAGAGAGAGACCCTCTGAAGGTTTCTTCCCTGGACAAGGACCTGGGTTTCTCTATAAAGATGAAAACTCTCAATGCAGTAACAGTTACCACCAGGAGAGACAGTCTACCCAGACCAATGCCTATGCCCACCCTCACTACACTTGCCCCACAAGCTTTTGCCATGTTTAATGCCTACAAACCAGACTAATGTATGCAGCCTGACAGTGCGTCCTGTCGGGTTGTGGGTCCTAGGGCAACCTTGGACAGTGGTCAGATTGTCAAGACACTTAATATTTAGAGAGAAGGATGCATAGACAATACCGTGGAGGCTCGAGAGTCCTGGTACTGCTAGATAGAAGCCTGGCTCTGTCCATCCACAGCTGGAAGGGGAACACACCCATCCCCACCACTCCTGACTGTCTCTCTGGGGTCACCTCACTAAGACTCACCACCTTGGGCTTATCTCTCCATTTTTCCCAGCATAGATGTCCTTTTTTTATCAGCCCTTTCTCCCTTGGCAACTCCCAGAACCAAGGTGTTCCAATTAGGGACCAGCTGCCCCAGGACGAAGCAACTGTCTTCCCGTCGCATGGGTCAAAGAATCTTTCCAGCTCACGCTTCTTCTCTGCTTCATTTAACTCTTCCGTTCTGGTAGCAAGGCCGCTGAATGGGACGGCCCAGGTGGGGCAGGCACACCGGCTCGGGGCATCCAGGAATATGGTGGGATCGGGGAATATCAGTGGGACCGGCAATCTTCTGGGAGCCATTCTGCACCAGATTTTACCACTGGCCATTCCCAGCAGCTCTGGCAAGCAGTTCTTATGAAGGAAGCCAATTTCTGGATGCCTCCAGGGCTCGGGCATAACCCGTCTTATGGAGAGTATGAATAGACAGAGTCGCCAGCCTTGTTCAGAAGTCACTGCTGCCTCGGAACAGAGGGGCTAAGGACCCTCTGAGGCACAGGCTGAGATGCAGTCTGTACGCTCAGTAACTCACGCGCAACACTGGCGCTGCCTGGCAGCAGGTCCCTGGTTCAGAACCACAGCCTCACCGTCCTGTGGGATGCTGCTCCCCCTGTCTCCAGCTCTCTGCAGTAGCTCCCGGGCTATAGAAAACAGTGGTTTACTATGGAGGGAATCCCCACCCCCAGCACCCTAACCCAAGCAAGCACTCCACCACTCTTCCTCATGGTCCTCCCAGCCCCCAGAAACACCAGAAGGTGGTTCAGGGGATGAGGCACAGGGGAGAGCTCCCAGCCTCCTGTGGAGTGACATCACTCACCAATGGTATCGAAGACCTCAGACACCTGGTAGTTCTGCTTGACCGAGGTTTCCATAAAGAGCAGGCTTTTGCTCTCCGCAAATTCCTTCCCTTCCTGAAGGAAAAAGTCAGTGTGTTTAATGGAAGTCCCTTCAGGAACTCCTCCTGGCTGACTCACAACAAGAAACTGGATAATGCTATAATAATAAATATATATTATATAAATATAATATAAATAATCCCAGCACTCAGGAAGCTGGGGTGGAAAAATCATGAGTCTGAGTTCCAGGCCAGCCTTGAACAGATAAACCTGCCTCAAGACAACCAAAAAAGGACTGGTTGTACTAGGTCACATATGTGCACACATCCTTCACACAGACCACCCCACATACACACTCCCTGTGTGC